CTTGTTCATAAAGGATTTTATTTCTCCTTGACTTATGAAGTTTAGTTTGGCTGGATATGAAATTTTGAGTTGAAAGTTCTTGTCTTTAAGGATGTTGAATATTGATCCCCACTCTCTTCTTGCTTATAGGAATTTTGCTGATAGATCTGCTTTGAGTCACATGGGCTTTCCTTTATGGGTAACCTGTCCTTTCTCTCTGGCTGCCCTTAGCATTTTCTCCATCCTTTCAACCCTGATGAATCTGACGATTATGTGCTTTGGAGTTGCTCTTCTTGAGGAATATCTTTGTGGGGTTCTCTGTATTACGTGGAGTTGAATATTGTCCTGCTTTGCTAGGTTGAGAACGTTTTCCTGAATAATATCCTGAACAGTATTTTGCAGCTTGGAGTATTCTCTCTGTCACATTCAGGTACACCTGTGAATCATAGATTAGGTCTTTTCACATGGTCCCATATTTCTTGGAGGCTTTGTTCATTCCTTTTTACCCTTTTTTCTCTAATCATGCCTTCTCTTTTTATTTCATTGAGTTGATCTTCAACCTCTGATAGCCTTTCTTTTGCTTGGTCAATTCGGCTGTTGAAATGTGTGTGCTTCACAAAGTTCTCGTGTTGTGTTTTTCAGCTGCATCAATTCACTTATATTCCTCTCTAAGTTGTTTATTCTCGTTAGCTTTTTATTAAATCATTTTTCTAGGTTCCTAGTTTCTTTGCATTGGGTTAGAACATGTTCTTTTAACTCACAGAAGTTTCTTATTACCCAGCTTGTGAAGCCTGATTCTGTCAATTCATCACACTCATTCTTCATCCAGCCTTGTTCCCTTGCGTTTGAGGAGTTGTGATCCCTTGGGGGAGGAGAGGCATTCTGGTTTGGGGTGTTTTCATCCTTTTTGTGCTGATTTCTTCCCATCTTTGTGGATTTATCCACCTGTCATCTTAGTCGATGTTTACTTTCCGATTGGGTCTCTGAGTGGACGTTCAATTTGTTGATGATGAAGTTATTACTTTCTGTTTCTTAGTTTTCCTTCTCACAGTCAGGCCCCTCTGCTCTAGGACTGCCAAGGTTCACTTCAGGCCCTGCTTGCCAGGGGATCACCTGCAGCGGCTGCAGAACAGTAAGGGTTGCTGCCAGTTTCTTCTTCTGCCCTCTTTGTCTCAGAAGGATACCCGCCAGATGTCAATCTGAGCTCTCTTTTATGAAGTGACTCTTTGGATATTCAGGTGTCAGGGAACTGCTTGAGGATATAGTCTGTCCTTTATCAGAGCTCAAGTGCTGAGCTGAGAGCTCCATTATTCATTCAGAATTGCTATGCAGGTGTGTTTAAGTCTGCTGCAGAAGAACTCATAAACCACTTCCCCCCTCCCACCAGGTACTCAGTCCCAGGGAGTTAGGGCATTTTTATGAGTTTCTGTTGTGCTGCTGCCTTTTTTCAGGACTGCCCTGCCGAGCTAGGGGGCAGCCTAGTCACTGTCTGCCTGCGGAGGCTTTGCTGAGCTGCTGTAGGCTATGCCCAGCTGCCATGTGAACTTCCCTGCATTCCTGTTTGTACAGGTGTAGTTAGAACTGCCTTGGCAATGGCAGCCCACTTCTGTAATGGTGGACCACCTCTGCAATGATGCATGCCCCTCCCACACAGAGCTGGACTGTCCTGGGTTGAGCAGTGCTTGCTGTGAAACTCTGAATCCAGAGCTTTTCCTATTGCGGTTTTTTTGTGGAGGTGGGACCAGCCGAGCCTGATCGCCTGGATCCCTGCCTCACAGCCCCCCCTCCCTTTTTTTTTTAGTTGAATGTTCGACTCTGTCTCCCAGGTGTTCCTGTCACCTGTTGAAAAGGCGCCAGCATCTGTGTTATTTCCTGTTCAGTGACCCACTTCCCTTGCTGAAACAGCCACACTGAGATTCATGGCATTTTTTTGCCTGGGAATCTTCTGGCCTGGCTTTCTGTTTCAGTCACCTTTTTTATCAGTTTAATGGGTGAGTTTGTCTCCCAGTAGCTCCAATCACCAGCTAAAACGGCGCTCGGACCTGTGTATTTTGTGCGGAGAACTGCCACACCGGGGCACTGGAAAAATAGCCATGCGGGCCAAAACAGCCATGCTGGTGACCCATGGGGCTCCTCCACCTGGGAATCTCTTGGCCTGTGGGCAATAAAAATCCATCTGCAAATGCGTTGTCCACTCACCCTCCGCACTTTCGCTGGGAGCTGCAATCCTGAGCTGCTCCTAATCGGCCATCTTGGATCCAGCTATTAGTTTTTAAGATTTCATTGTTGGGGCATATAATTCTCTGACATCATTCCAGAGAGTCTGCTTATGGAATGGCTGTTGTAATATGTAACAACAATATTACTAATTTTGTCATATTAATATTCAACTGTTTGTTTCTATAGTGTCTATAGAAATAGTATTTATGCTTAGTGTTTACTTCTAATAGTGAAGATCCATTTCTACATAGTGTTTTGCCTCTTATATAAAATTTTAAAGCTACCTGTAAAGCAATACATTAAAAACTGTGGTGTTACACAATAATAAGAATTATTTGAAATGAAAGTTTATCTATTGAGGAACAAATAGAATCATACTGAATGCACAGAACTAACCTTCATTATGAACAGGAACAGTGGCTTATGCCTGTAATCTCAACAGTTTGGGAGGCTGAGGCAGGCAGATCACCTGAGGTCAGGAGTTCAAGCCCATCCCAGCCAATGTGGTGAATCCTCATTTCTACTAAAAATACAAAAATTAGCTGGGCATAATGGCAGGCTCCTGTAAACTCAGCTATTTGGGAGGCTGAGGCAGGAGAATCACTTGAACCTGGGAGGCAGAGGTTACAGTAAGCCAAGATCACGCCATTGCACTCTAGCCTGGGAGCGAAACTCCATTTCTAAAAAAAAAAGAACTAACACTCCTTCTTTGGGAGAACATAATGTTTTGTTTTACACCCAAGGATCTTATCTTCACGAAAAACAAAGGAAGGCACAGGAGTGGTGGGGCGAATGGCTACAAAAATTGGCAGACAATGAGCAGAAAAGAGTATTGGAGACATAGTAAGAGGAATTTTTAAATTACTTACCGTTTGGTAAGTCCCTAATCCCTAATGAAATAACCTTATAATATCATGCAAACTTTCCCTTTTTGACCCCCACATTTCTCACTTAGTAAAATGATTATGGATGCTACTTACACTGAGGTGTTATGAGACTTGTGTGGCATATGTAATGTAAAGTAGCAATTACACGGCTTGTGTCTGGTACTAAGCCTTTATGATTGCCACCTCTTTGTGGCACTTTATTTTCTGACTAGGAATATGGTTGAATTTACAAAAACACAAATTCATAAAATTTGTGGCAGTGTTTTCCTGTGAAATGACATGTTTTGAAGCACTAGTTTGAAAACTTATACAGTAATATCCCCGTGCCCAGAAGTGAAATCATGTAGGAGAGGGATGGAAGGAAGTCATCAGTAGATGCTGCAGATCCAGTGTGGTTTATATTCTTACTTTTTGACATGAACTGAATTTTTTACTTAGTTTCTCCCCTGGCACCTCTTTTAAACATACACACTCACCATAAGGCTTCCTGGCCAAATTCAGATATAGACAGAGATACGGCTTTGTTTCTAAATAGGCAGAATTGCTAAAGGCAAACTGCAACTTACGTATTTTATATGGTACCTAAGAAATTTGTCATACCACTTTAGGCTTATATTGCTATACTTGTCTTATTTTTTAAATAACATATTTTGTCTATAATATCCTTAATGATTTTGCCCCAGGGTTACATAGAGGAATTCTGATTTAAAAAGAAAAGAAACAAAACATAATAGTTTAACCTAGCATATTAACCTAACAAATGTCAAGAAAATATATATTAAGGAAATTAAATCTGCCATTAATGGATATTGTAAAATTTACTCAGATGTTCGTCCCACAATTTATAAAACCAAAACAAAGCCTTGCTCTCATGATTCTTATACTCATGGGAAAGAAAGATGATAAACAAATGAGGAAAATAATTCTAGATACTGATTATATGATCATTTTCCTTCCAAATACTTGCCATGTAATCCATGTAAGTGTAATTTCAAGTCAATATCTGTAGTTTCAGAAATCCCAAATTTCCCAATAATAGAATAACAAGCTCCAAATTCCCTTAAACTGTCCTGATTCTGGGAGGTTTTATGTTTACAAATGGGGTTAACAGCATTTTTCTTAAACCCATTTCATGCTTTTTAAGGTAAGTTTAGTATTAAAGTGTGCCTTAGAATAGCATCTAGTCCACCTCTGCTTTGAGACACTTAGATTGACAGAAACTTTGGCAGACAGTTTTGAGCAGTAACAGCCCAATTACAAGAAAATGAGCACTATTTGTACTTATGTACAATATATTGTTATCCTCACAAGTATGTGTAGGAAAGGCATAAATTATAAGAAAAGTCAGTGTGAGTAATAATAGATTCTGCCATATCACTTCCAAATTAAAAGTCAGCAAGTAATATTTTTTTTCCTACTTTATTATATTGTAACTAACTTTGTATCTTATACTATCTCCATAGATAACTGTCTGCTGTGGTGTCAAAGTTTTAAAATCTGTTCTACAATACACTACTTGTGAGTGTATAGGCAGCCTTCTTGCCTTTCTGTAATGATAAGAATTCCAACCTGTAATTCAGAACTTTTATTTCAAAGATGAAGAAATTGACTCTTATAAAAGTTACCTCATTTGCTCAAATTAGAGCTCAGATAAAGAATATGCCTTAAAATAGGAGCAAGTTTATGGTACATTAAGATCATTGCATTTTTATAGTCAAATGTAAGTTATTCTCACCTTTAAATGTTTTCATGATGTCATTGTCCATCATGCAATATTTTAAAATTTGAGGAAAATAAAAAGTACTATGTGAATAGACTTTAGAACCAAGATTCTCAAAGTTATTTCTAATTGGTGTGTCTTTTTTGTAAAAATATTTAATATTGAGTTACTGTCACAGTTTTTTTCCACAACAGGTATTGTCTTTTGAAAATTCTGAAGCAATGTCAGACATTGAGAGAAGCTCTTCTTGCAGCAGGAAAAGAGGTTATATGGCATGGGCGGACAAATGATGAACCAGCTCATTACTGTAACATTTGTGAGGTACGTAACTGTTTTTACTGATAATTGTTTGTTTTGAATTCTCTTGGTTTTGATTTGTTGTTGTTGATTAATTACAAATTTACCTGTACTTTTATGTAATGCTTTTTATTGAAATTGACTACTATTATTACTATTAGGCTAAGTTCTCAACTGATAAAATATATATATATTATATATCTGATATATTTTATCAGCTCTCATCTGATAAAATGTATCAGATGAGAACTTAGCCTAATAGTAATATTAGTAGTCAGTTTCAATAAAAAGCGTTACTTAAAAGTATCTAGATATATTAAAAGTATCTCCTACTGTTACTTGAGTAGGAGGTAAAGATTAAGAATTGACTTAATCCTTATCCAAGTGATAATCATCTCAAATTTTAAACTAGGAACATGCTATTAAAAGCTCACAGATGCCAACAAACAGGATTTAATTCAATATTCAAGCTGATCAGGACGAAGTCCTTTCTTGTTAATTTCATAATACGTCAGTGGTTTTTTCTCTTGTGACTAAGGCTTACAAGATGTGCAGAAATAAACATATGTTGCTTACTTTGGAGAAGCTGACATTCTACTTCCAGAAACAAACTGTAAACAAATCGTAATGCATTGTAATGTATATCTGTCTAACTGATGAATAAGGTTGGATACATATACAAACGATTACAGAAACAGTGAGGAAAATAATTTTTCTGCTGTTTTCCGTTTTAAAGCACATAAACATAACATTTGAGTTCTTGAATAATATGTCTGATTGCAGCAGATGAAAATAGCAATAACTGGAAATTTATAGAAAATCATTAGCTTTATGAATAGTGTATGGATTGGGGCAGGAGTAGTGTATTCATTAGAGGGAGATTAGTTCAATGTGGCTGGAAATTAGATGGCAAATTCTTTAAAGTCCATCAGGGTAGGCTGTTTTGTAGTTTGCAAATCATACTGATTCATTTGAAGGAATTTTACAGAAATTCTGACATGAATGAAGCTTTTAAGAGTTTCTGAGCAGAGGACGACATCGTGTGTTTTGGAAAGAAAGATGGTTGATAACTGGATAGAGTGGAAATAGAAAGTGAATCAGTCTACGTGGACACTATTAGAATGGTCTTAGGAGGTGTTAATGAAAGGCCTAGACTAGAACATACCCTTAAGAATGTAGAAGAAAGGGTGATGTTCAAAGGTGTTTAAAAGTCATAAAATTACCAGCACAGTTGATCAAATGTGGGAATTAAAACAAATAGAAGAACCCTAAATTTGCAGTTCAGGTTGCTAGAGTACTGTTAACACCTGTTGCTAGTAATAGAGTGCTTCATGAACTCTGAAATTTTACAGCTGTTTAAAGATGACTTAAAGTAATGAGGATTTGGTTTTATGTTTTCTTTTTTAACTGAAGAAATCAAGCAGAAGTCTGAGGAAGCTTGACTAAGTAAAAGTTCAGTCTAAAAATATTAATGTATAAATCTTAAGATAAACTTACTAAATTCATTGGCAGCTTTTAAATAGTATAAACTAACCAAAGTATATTGTTTTGTGCTCAAGTAGATTCTAGTTAGGTGTTTTACTTCAGAAAAGTGAATATATCTCTCTAGAATTTCAAAACAACCATTGTATTCCTCAATACTATCTATTATTCTTGCTGAGCTTTTACAACTCATGAGTCTTTGTCTATAAGATGTACATTTTTCTGCTGTTACACTAGTGTTAATGACTTGTATACTCATTTTTTTTAAAATATGAGGCTTGAAACAACCCTTTTGTTATTCATCTATCAGTTTTCTTATCTGGAAAAAATCAGATTATGGGCATATTCCAAGGTTTTTTTTAAACTATAGTTTTAGCTTTGGCGAAAATTAAGCGCAATGATGTACTTTAGACATCCAAAAGAATGAAATATAGTCTTTGTGGTGCTAGGTCACTGGGGGAACACGAAGCCCCTGACACGCAACATGTTCTATGAATAGTCTCACAGAAAAGTGGAAAACAAATTACGGTCACTTTTATCTGGTGCTACACTGGTATTTTGGATAAAATAAAATTATACTGATGTTCATCAAACCTTGAATTGAGCTTTAGTGACTGTCTCTGAACACGCATTATTATTCTTTTCACTACATGTGCTACAAAAGAAACCTTGGTGTCTCAAACTAACAACCATAGTCTTGTTTTGTTTTCTTTAAGTACTTGAATTTAACCAAAATCGTCATCCAGTTCCATGTGAAGTAGATTTCACATGGTTACAGTGCTAAAGTAAATTCAGGTATCACTGTCCAGGACTATTTATTTATTTATGTATTTATTTATGTGATATAGGTGGAGGTTTTCAATCTGCTTTTTGTCACTAATGAAAGCAATACTCAAAAAACCTACATAGTACATTGCCAAGATTGTGCCCGAAAAACAAGCAGAAGTTTGGAAAATTTTGTGGTGCTAGAACAGTACAAAATGGAGGACCTAATCCAAGTCTATGATCAGTTTAAACTAGGAAGTGATCAATACGTGAGTACACTTAGGGGGATTTAAAACAGTGATCTTTCACTTTGCTAACTGATAAATATGTTAAGAAGATACTTAACTTTTCCACAAGTGCAATACATACTGTGTAATGAAAAATATTAGTAGCCTTCATCATATTTGATGTTAATCTTTCTATGTGAAACTGATGTTTATTACCATTTTTGCTTAATGATAATACCCCCAAAGAAGGTGCAGTAATTACATTGTAAATCTGCATGTTTTTAGAATATTTTAATAGTTGTGTGCCACTTTACATGACTCATAAAACCCTTGCATGTGAAGGTTACTTAATGCTTCTGTAGTAATTATCTGAAAGATGTGCGGGGCACTTTCATACACTCTGTGGTTTTAAAGATTCCTAGAAGTGTTAACCTGAAAGGCTAACACTTTTAATGGAGCTTGACTAGATGATATGCTATGTAAGACTCGTGAAAAATGTGTTACATGTCATCTAGCTGTGGCATTTTCATAAGCCAATAGCTAGTGAAATTTTAATTAACTTTTACAGTTATTTTTCCACACAGCTTTTCTTTTAGCAGTTTAAGAAATTGGTTAACTTTTAACAGTATTCCAAATATTATTGACTAAATGATGAAAAGTGGAAGTAATAATACAGCAATCTTAGAGAACTAATTCTAATGGAGAAAGTAAGCATCTCAGAAAACTTCAGCTTTTGTGTTTCTTGTGAACCCCCTTAATAAAAAGG